TATATAATATGATTACAGTAATCAGTACTACTATATATCATTTGTGCTTTATTGAACGATTCTTACAATTTAAAGCAACACTTGTTACAAAGCATTTCACAGATACAATGAATTTACTTCAATACAAATACAATTGGTATTAAACCAAATTTACACTTCCTAAAAGAGTTAATAACTGTTATTTRCACATATTAGCAAATGATTTTGAACAATGGATTGAAGTTGAAGCTTTTGGGCAACAAACAACAGGTTTTCCCAAAAACCTTGACGTCAAMCCATTGTTCGAAATCATTTGTTTATAAYTAAAATAACAGATATTTCACATGTAGTATTTYCATAAGTTCTTTGCATTCTAATGACTTTAMAKATCCCCMATTCTTCCATAATAGTGTAGCTCTCTTCATAATATATGGTTCCATATATAGACCGGCTTTTTGTAAGATATGGACTAGTATCGATCATTTATAGCCCAGATAACTAATGATTAGGTATTGCGTCAACTGTTCTAAAATACTTCACTTCTACAAGAAATAATCTGGGGTGCGTCGTGTGACGTGTGGCTCTCCTCTTCTTGGGGCGGGGTCGAACTGAAGGCTATAAATGAAAATTTTATGAATAATCACTACAATGTCCTATTAAAATGTGGGGTGATGACAGACCATTTTATGACAGAGAAATATGAATTGCAAAAACCTTTAACATGTTGTGCAACATTGCTGCTTCTTTAGCTTCCTGGTCTGTTTTTTTTTTTTGGTGTACGTTTCAATTTGTGAAGGCTTAGGATTTCTTAATAAATGAGTGGAGATTATAAGTCTGTACATGCACTTACAAGGAGTATTTGAGAGAGTCATCCAGTTCCATGATGGCTGCCTGGTTACCACAGCGATAGCAGTAGTTTGGCGCACTGAATATAGTCACTACATTTCTATCATGACACCAGTTATAACCCTAACAAGAGCAATAATCATTCATTAATCATATACATAATGATTAGACACATTTTGAAAACTCTATAATTGGACCCTTGGTAATGAATAGCATTCACAGTAGCCATTTGCCAAAATGGCATGTATAAGCCACACTTTTTTTCCAAAAAAATCGTTCCTAAAACTCAGGGTGCGGCTTATCTAAAAGAGTGGCTTATACATGGGTAAATACGATACTCAAGAATATGCTTCACTTAGAAGCTGTGCAAAATCCTAGCAAGGTTAAAATCCTCCAATACAAGCCAACCTTAATTCAACAGTTTATTAAGATGCCTCTACTTAATCCTGTGAGTTCTGCTAATGGACAGTTACACTAACACAACAACATCCCTGCATGGTACCCTAAATTCTCACCTCCATAACAAGTTGATGTGCTCTTGCAATCAAGGTCAATCCATTAGTATGATTAAATGTTTCTGATATGTCTTGTCCAAAGGTGTATCCAGCACCTCTAGGTGATATTCCCCAGCCACCACGGTCATCAGGGTCACTCCACAGCAGATCACACATAGGACCCTAAAGACAACATAGAACTACTCAATACAAAATATTGGTTGATTGATGGGCTCACAGTAAAAATGAAGTTTACAGGAAAGTGAGTGAGTGATGGAATGAGTGAGTGAGAGATTTGTCCCCCTCCAATAATTCTTTGATTGCTTTACAGTCTTAGAGTAAACAAGTAGACGACTGTTTCTAGCAAAGTAGTGAGAGATAAATATTACATTATTTTGCATTAACAATAAAACTGAAATAATTTCACCAATTGGTAACCCTTGCTATTGCTTGTTCTCAATCAATCCCTTGAAAGTCAAAAGACTGACAGTATAGTCACATAATGAATTTTACAAGAGATTCAACATTTAAAAAATTCTATAATATTGGTTAAACAGTTACCAGACTCGAGTAAAGTAGCATCCACTTGCTTTATATTCGAGAATCTAGAGTTAAATGCATTATTGCATGGTAATGTAATGTATTGTGTCCTCATTATTGCAGAATTCTTTCATTGTAGAACTCAATCGATAGTAGTGTTACATTGTAATCATTGGACACTGAAGGATAGTTAAGCTTAATCTAGATTATAAATACTCCATTTTCGAGTTTACTTCAAAGCAGATAACTGCTGATTTATTTGACAACAGATGCTCTTACTTAAAAAGCCTTACCAGAAACAAAAGAAACAATGAGAAAATGTTGTTATTACAATATAAATTTATCTCTAATTGAACCTTTTGGGAATACAGGGTTTGCATGCGTAACTCGGAGAAAATGCAAATTGTTAGGGCTATTGTATTTTACAAATTTCCTTGGGGTTTCTTTTGTTTCTGGTAAGGCTTTTGCACAAGAGAATCATTTCCATCATATGAAACAGTGCTTATCTGCTTTGAACTGGAAAATGGAGTATTATATATAGACTGCATTCAAGAGCACTTGGCCTATGAGTATAAAAGCTGATTTACACGGCACGATTGTCTCGTGCGATTTGTAGTATACGACTTGAATCTCGCAGTGTAAATGCCCCCACGACTTGTCTACAACAGTCGTACGCAACCTACGACTTGTAGTAGGGTTTTGAACCACTGCTTAAAATCCTACGACTTGTAGTAGGAAAATCGTATACAACAAGTCACGCGACAAATCGTACCATGTAAATCAGTCTTAACAAGCTTAGTACAGTACCTCATGTGGAACTTCTTGTATTCTGTCCAATGCTCTTATATGATCCAATGTATCGATTGATGGAGAAAGGCCACCATGGAGACAAAATATCTACAAACAAAAGTCATAACACTCATAACACTCTGTAGCTAAGATGATAATATTGTATTATATTGCATTCATGTCCTCATCATTGCAGAATTCTATCATAGATGTACTCAATAAAGTGTTATGTTGAAATCATTGGACATAATGGAGCATTATTTACCCCCTAATATGGTATCATAATGTTTGAATCAGATAACTTCTCAGAGCAAACACAGATCATCTTTGTCTACCTAAGGTGACTTTGAAACCCTGTGATTTCAAACCAAACAACTGTTTTTATTCAAATAGATACATAACAACAAATAAGTCTATGGAGACTAGAAACCAGATTTTCTGTTTTGAATGTCTAACAAAACAGGTTTTTCCAAAGCAAAAGAATCCTAAAGGAAGAATCTGGGTATAAGAAGGTGATAGACAAAACAGCACTTATGACTTACTTGGTTGTCGACAAGTGCAGTTAGAGGTAGATAGTCAAATAGATCCGTAAAATACTTCCATACACTAGCGTTTCCATATTTTCGTAAACATTCATCGTAGAAACCATAAACTTGAGTAATCTGTCGGCTTTCATGGTTACCTCGCAGAATTGTAATTCGGTGAGGATAGCGAACCTAAAACAATTTAAGTAATAGTAACCAGTAAAGAACGAGGGGAAAAACAGTGCAAAATTGAGTAATGCCATTGTTTTCTATTATTCTATAAACAGTTAGTAGCAACAAACTATCTAAAGTGTTAAAAATTAGAGCAAAGGCATTAAACCCGCAAAACAAAATTTTACTATTAAATTGTTACAGTCAAATAGACACAAAAGCAAAGGGAATTAGAGGATAATACT